TGGATATTAAAACCAGAAAAATTCAAATCAGAAACACAGGGTATAAACCCTTGATAATAAGAGAAGTTAACCATTGATGCAGCATTCCAGTTGGATATTTTCAATGCAGACCAGATGACCTTCTCTAAGAAAGGTTTTGCCAATCACAAATGGATGATATTTAGAGGTTGATCCATTTCTGATTTTGTCTGAATCTGCTAGTTAAGAAGTCGATCCATTATTCATTTAGCAGCAGTAGCAGTCTTTCCTGTCATCATAGAGATCCAGATTGGTACTGATGGCAAATTACATTTCAGAAGACCCTTAATCTCCCTCATTTCTGCTGCAGGTTTCTGGAGATACAATACTGAAGTGAGTATCCCACTGGAACACTTCCACTCTCAACTGCTGAACCTGGTACCCAAATCATTTGGAAAAGACATTTTTTTTTCCCCTCATACAGCAACCAACCAGCTGGAAAATTGCTTCTTTACAGTGCTACAGAAAAGCTGATTGATGCCAAGGGACAAGGAATATCCCTGGAGACCCTTCACAAGGCTACAGTTGTCATACACTGGAAAAGTGCCAGAATTTGTCAGCAGAGTAGCCTGGGATCAGGTATCTCAGCATGGGAGGGTTTCTGTGGACTCCAGTGGAGCTGCAGCTTTAACTGCTGCTGACTTTTCTGTCGTGGTTTTCTGGGGCACAGGCTGTATGTAAATCATCATTGCAAATGGGTCTTGTTCAGTAACTTTTCCAGGTGCATTCTCCGACTGTCACCAAAAAGAAAATGTGGGGCTAGGCTAGTGTCTGCTTTGGAGTGAGTGGTTGGGACATTATACCCTGATTTTCCTTGTAATTGGATTCCTGCAGATGGAAAAGTAGAGCAAGTATACTTCATTGCATCTCACAGTAAAACTGAATTATTTACTGCTTTCAGTCACCTCAACTTCAGCAAAGGGAATTAAACAGTGACACTTAAAAGCAAAATGATTCAATGGAGGGCTCTGACTTTTGGCCTAACCATCCTGGATGCTGGGAGCACATGGCAAGGCACAAACAGGGCCTCTCTCATGCTGCTCCCTCTGATCTGTTGGACATACTGAAGATTCAAATCTAAAGAGTCTGCCAAGAGATGCCAGGGTGTGTTAAATCCATGGCTGGTCCCAAGTGGAAGAGGAAAATCCATGTGGTTGTATCAGCTCACTCATCTTGGTGCTGCACAAGTCATGCTCTGACTTGCGGATTACTGGGAGGGTGATAAAACACTTGGAAATATTGCAGATGAATAAAAAAGTGTTCCATAATATTAAGAAACCTGAGAATTCAGGCTTACTAATTTACCTATTAGCTTCTCCATGTGTCAAATGTATGGTGTGATAAAAGTGGAGCAGGACCACTGGCCCTCACTGGAGCCAGGCACTCAGCTGATGGAGGATTGCAACAGAGCAGTCAGGCACTGTGCTGGGCACAGGAAAAATTTATTTATATGTTCATTAAAAGCAGTCCTCAGAGACTTAAAATAATAGAAAACCAAACAAAAAAAAACAAAAACCAAAAAAACACTTAGCTGATACATATCCTAGCTTGCAACTATATGTAAGTGAAACACAGCACCCAGGTCAGACTTCCTCAGTGCTTCTGCCCCCAGGAGCATTCCCAGAGTGTTTTCATACCTGTTATGAAGCTGATGGTGGAGCTGTCACAGCAGCTCATCTCTGGGTCCCCCCAGGTCACCATGGTGACCCGGAAATTGTAATACCAAGCAGGCAGCAGGTTGGCTATTCTCTGTAAAGGGACAAAACACAAAGAGCAGCTCAGGAGACAACTCACCAGCATGAGGCAGGACTTCTGAAAAACAACAGTATTTATAAACCTAGTGCCCACACTCATTTTTCTGAGCTCCCATTACTCCCTTCAGTGGAAATCTCTGAAATATGGCCTTTCAATTTACTAAAAAAAAAAATCTCTGTGGGGGGAGCAAACACAGCTGTGATGGCTCTGCTGCTCATCCACATCCACCTGGTTGCAGGTTCTGTCCACCATGGGAATCTCAAAGGATTTCCAGGGTGGTAAGAACCATTCATACAGAGCAATCTTCCATCACAATTCCAGTGTGATGAAGGCAAAATCTTCAACTGGAAAATGTAGGTGTTTCTAGTTTGATTAAATGGGGTTTGAGGATAAATTAGAATCAATGCTTTTGTCTCAGATATTGTCACTTTAAAAGATGTATTTTTATCCAATTTTCCAAGTGTATTTCACTTTCTCTTATCATTTATTATAAATGGAATAGGAATGAAACATAAATGACTTATGAGACATAAATTATATATGTAAATATAAATTAGATATAAATGAAGCATAAAAAGCAATGACATATTATAGTATCGTGTGCAATATTTAAGTTAAAACTCTAATTCTTCCACTGACAGCACAGAACATTTAAGATATTGATCTTTAGATGAAAAGCCTCTTGATATTTTTAAAATTCAAAATAAAAGCAATTTGAAAATAACAACTTCAACAATATAGAAACTGCTTTTTTTGCAGATCTCTGTTGTTTGCAGTGGCCTTTTTCCTCCAGATACTACAAGACAGTGCAAATATAGGTGATGTGATCTGTTCTTTTCATGATTTTTGGAAGAAGTTGTATCCATCCTTGAAGATGATTGGACTTCTGACATGCCCCTGGTGTCATATTGGAAATACCAACATCGCTTTGACAATTTTCAAGTAACTTGCACAGCACAAATGAATGAAGCAACTAAACAGAGTGAAAAGACAAATCCATTTCCAAAGGTTCTTATCAAATGTTAACTCTCCAGGAAATAATGCTTGATTATTTTACGCTGTTGGAGACACTGATTTTTGATTCTCATTGTTGCATCAGAATACACCACTCAGAGATGTTAGCAGGGATCAGTGGGACTCTAGAGCACCATTAGAGAACCCAAACAAAAGTTCACCAGTCCCTACCGGTACAAGAATAATAGGGAAACATTCTTTTCCTAATTCACGATTAGTCTTTCAAATTATCCTTGAAGAAATGCTCACTTTAGCTGCCATTTTGCATTTCAGATTGAAATCCAGACAAAGCAATTCCAACTTGGTGGCTTCCCTGAGCAGGATTTGCAAGAGTAAGGGACAACATCATCTCCTTTTCTAATGAACCACATTAACTCTGCATGATAGCTTTATTTCTTGGATCACTTAGATCACTCAGCTATTAATCTATTGGTGCTGAGTCATGATTACAAGATATTAATTACCAGTTTGGTAAGTTATTTTTGTTTTTAATTTCCCTGGAGATTTATGTGCTAGATTTATAGTCACATACCCAATTACAGTAAAGCTGCTGGATCCAAAATGACTCCACAAATGGTATTATGCAAATCAGTTACAGTAAATCACTGTAGCTCGCACCAGCAGCAGAAGTTACTGCTTTTTTGCATACTCATAACTTTCTTGAACAACTAATTTCAGCTGGAATTGCCTTCTCTAGCACTACAGCAAAGTCTGAAAAAAATCTTTTCACCTTCTTCAGGAAATAATGGAAAACAGGAGGAAAATATTGCTTTATATCTGCAAGGACACCTGTGAATATATGAGTGTGTTCTTACAGAGACCAGCGCTGACCTACTTAAAACCCTGGCCTAAAATTTGGCAGCTTCAGAAGCATGAAAGATTTTTTCCATAAAAACCAGAGCTAAGCCTTCCACATGGCACACTGAGAGACCAGCCTCCAAGCCCCAAATCCATACTATCAATATTAATTATGTAGATAAGCCTTTGCTCTACACCCCCTGAGGAGATGATGGAACTTTTAAAGCCTTGACTGACAAACTGACCCACAAACTGAAGCTGCCTCTGGACTTGCTGAAAAAAAACCAAACCAAAACAAAACAAAAACAAACAAACAAACAAAAAATAGGCTAATCTCCTGTCTCATTGCTCTGCTTAAAATTTAGCATGGTTCAGCTGGCAGTGCCTTACTTTAGCCTTACAATGGCACCATTGGCCATTTTCTCTGCTTTGCTGGGGAAAAAAACATGCCAGGCTTAAAGGCATATATATATACATATTCATGGAGAAACAGCTGGGAAAAAAAAGTGTCACAAGGTGCCAGGCATGGGAAAGCAAGGCAGGAATGGTCACTTTACCACTGAGGCAGTCAAGGAGACAGTTGCTGCTATTTCATAGTAGGTTGTCCACTCCGAGGTCATGGTTGATGGGTTGAAGTAAAACATTTCTACCACGTATTTCCTGAACACCCCAAGGAAAGGTCTGTTCCAGCTCAGAACCACAGAAGTAGGTCCCAAAGGGTAAAGTGTCAGATCCTTAATTCCTGTGGGCACTACAAAGCAGAAGTTATGGTTAGCAATGCATATATGTTATCAGTTGCACTTTATTTTAAAAGTATACCTTTCCTTAATCAAGTTCTACCTATTTCTGGTTTTCTCATGACTAATCTTCAAGAACTTCCTGGTCACAAGCAGTTGAATACTATTTTTTAAGCATTTATTCTCCAGTTTAAAACTACTTTTTCAGAAGTGGTTATAGACCACTTTGTGTTGGCTGCTTATCTTGAGATAAAGAACACATCTTGCTTTCTCATAAATGGAGGGTTATATTCTACTCTGAAAATCAGGATGCCTAGGGGATATTTCAAGATGCTCAGAAACAAAAGCATCAAAATCCAGAGCACCGTAAGAAAGGAAAGTTTTCACCTCTAGCCCTCCTTCCCTGGGGAACCCAAAGGTTCTGTCATGTGCTGCTATTCTTGCCTCGCAGATGGCAACACTGAGAAAGAGTCAAGTGATTTGAAGAATGTCACCTTAAGGGTCAGCTTCTGCAACCTGTATGGTCTGGAAAGCAATTATTCTTCATGACTTCACTGAGGCTACTTAAATAAGGGCTTGGAGCTAACATTTGCCAGGGCTGCAAAGCCCCAGCTATTGCACACCGGGTCAGAACCCAGAGCAGCACCCAGGTTATTTCAGCCCATGTTTGCACATGGCTGCCTTTACCTTTATAAATCGTTTACCACATCTTTGCTTTGCTTTCACTGAATTGCTAATAAATGTGAAAATGAGCCTTAGGATAATGTGGGGAGAATGGAATTCTTCTTAAAGTGCATTTTATTTTATTTGAGTTTCATTCGTTGTTAGCCACCACTGGTAAGTTCACAGAACAATTTGGTTTTCAGTTTTATTATTTTATTATAATATTCAATAAACTGTTATGAAATGACAACTCATGCCACTGTTGTTCTACTGCATAAAAACAGACACTTTATAACATGAAAGTTATGAGATGTTCTATTTAGAAACTTATTGCCATTTTAGTTTTGTAAGAAATTTTCATGGTTATAAGGCCATAAAAAAGTGGAGAAAATGAAGGAACTTATTTGCTTTGGGTATACATGATTTTACTTTGGCAAATAAAAGAATTTTTCAGATTTTTGAATTACGGTGAGAAAGAAGATCAAAGCGTTTGTGAAAACTGTCCAGTGATAGAAATTTTAACGTTAAAGTATATATAAATATTTATGTAATAATTTTTCCTTTCCTGAAATATAGCATACTTTACAAATTTTTATTCAGACCAAATTTATGAAAATACATAAGAAGATTGACTAGAATGAAAAGGCTCTCACCATAATCACTAGGCCACATATTGGCTTTTATTTAAGGATTAAATTCTTAACAGGATAACATTTTTTTCTGTTTCACTTTCTTCCCTACATCACAGAGAGAAAGCAACATTAAAAATACTGAAGATGTCTAAGTTTCAGCCACCTGCTGTCCCACGGAACAGACTTTTTGTCAAAAGGAGAAGCTGGGTGATACAGGTTAAATATTTCTCTGCAAATGCAACTCTGTACACTGGATCTCTTTCTCTTTTCCCTCTCTCTACTTAATACATTTTGTTTAAGTGGTAATCTTAACAAAATAAATTACACTGAAACTTGAAAATTACTGAATTCTGTCCTAAATGACCCTTTGTAGGAGCCTGGTGGAATCCTAAATTACAGGTATGGGGGAAGCAGCTCTGCCTATTGGACATAAAACCACATTCTTGAAGATGTTAGGTCAGTCTCAGAGGGTTCTTCTCCTTTTCAAATCCCAAAGAAGAGAACATTGAGATCCACTCTTAAACTTGAGAAAATCAAGGCGTGGTCTACAGGACTTAATGAACATACTACACATATTAAAAAAAAAAACCAAAAACCACCACCAACAACAAAACAAACAAACAAAAAACCCTAAATAGAAATAAATGCATTTCAGTCAGTAGGTTCAGGGGTTACCAATGGAAAATGTGACAGGATCAGAGGGAGGTCCAACCAATGGTCCTTTCCGTAGGTAAACCACAACTTGGTACTGGGCACCAGGAACGAGATTTTCAATGAGGCTGCTGCTTGAATTCACCTAGGAGGAGTGGAACTCATCAGATATGAAGCATTTACTTAATTAATAAAAGAATATTGAGACTGTACTTGAATGGCTCCATTTACAAAAGGCATTAATCCAAACACATTGGCAGCAAGAGCTTTATTCATTAACCCCACGTGGCAAAACTGTGGAAGTGGTCAGGACTGACCTCACAAATGATCTGACTCAGAGAATTGCACTTGCTTGGCTGCATAAGGTCAGCTACCTCACTTCAGACCTACCTCTCTCTCTCCTACTGTCAAAGTTTATTACAATATTCGGGCTACATTAGTCATTTTCAGGTGGTGTTATTCAGGATGGAGCATTTAGACCACATGTTTTCAATTAGAGCCTGAGGCTTTGCATCCATCATTGATGCAGCTCTGTGGGGTGAAGACAGCATTTTGGGGAAGCTGTCCTCTGACTGCATCTACTGAGCGACTCCACAATGAAATCAGAGAGGAAATATTCTGTCACCTCCCCTCCAGAGCACTACAAACTGTAACTAAGGGGCTTTGTGAGTCTTCTTTTCAGTCTGAAAACATCACTGTTAAAATTTCTGCTGTGCCACACCAGGTTTCAGTCAGAGCTGGAGGCAGAATTCCTGACCAAGTGATTCCTGGTCTGATACAACAGCAAGAGGCTTATCTTCTGAAGACTCCACAAACAGCAAAAGCACAGAGCAGCTTTGAGGAAAAGCCTTCACACATCCTTTCTAGAGCTGCAGGCTTGTATTTCCTACTAATATTTTCTTCACAACCTTCTCAAAGTCTGCACCACAGCCACCTTTGCATTGGTGGCTCATTGCAATGCACATGAGTGTATCACTGCCAAGCACAGATTTAGTGAGGAACAGAATTTGTCTTTACCAGCTGCTCTGGAAAGCTAAATCTCTTTTAAATCATGCACCATGTTAGAAATGGGTAGAACTCTGCAATGCTCTTTTCAGCTCATGGAGAACTCAAACCAACAGCCTTTAACGATTCCAGATATAGTACGTTGATAAAATTTGATACAAATATATATAATGACAGAAAGAAACAAGCAACTGTATTTAGACTTTTTGACCTACTTGCAGTAAATACACATGTACTTTTACAGTTATCTTGTTTATTCACAGATTAGGTACTTTTTTTTTTTTTGAGTTTGTAGATAAATCCTGCAGTATGTGTGGAAATTATAAATGCAAATGTTTGTGATCTGTGTTTATAACCACCTACTGTACTTTGCTTCACATATAAATGACTACACTTGTTTAGAACCACCTACTGTACTTTGCTTCCCATTAAGATGACTGCACTTCTAAGAAATACAAGTAACAATGAGATTCTGAAAAACATTTCTCAAACGGTCACAACAAGACACAAGAATTTAAATTCACAGCCATTCTTGAACTGAAACTCAAAATTTCTACAGAGATTAATTTTACAAGGCATTTTAAGGGTAACAAATTCTCTGTATTAATTCACTGGCAGGGCTGATCATGAAGGCAAAGGAAATTATTTACAAGGATGCCAGCAGTCCCCTCCATTCCCATGGGTGGGCTGAGGGTACAGCAGGGCAGCTCTGCAGCCCTTTGCAGACTCCTCCATCACACACGTTCAGGGAGCCAGACAGAAGCCATGGCCCTGCTCAGAAAAAGGCTGTATCAGCATCTTGGTGAGGTTATTGAGATGTGGGCTAAAATCTTTCTAATTGAAGCCACGTGCCACTGACCTATCACAGGCACAGAGCCTGCACTCACTAAGGCTTTCAAGTAGCAGAAAATTGTCAAGTTTTGGGGTTCAGGATTCTTGATGGTTATAAACACATCCCATAAAGGACTTGTCCATACAAATCACTGGTGGTCTGAATTGCTTTTTTTTCCCCAGAGCTGACACCTTTTCCTAAGGATGAAAAGATAAGCTGGCTTATGATCATCTTAAAACTTCCAGAAAATTTACAGTCAGGTTCTGCACTCAAATGTGAGACAGCTAAGAAATAATTTATGCTACTTGGAGGATAACCATGCATGTAAGCACTTCACTGATTACAGATGCACTGCAGCACGTGCCTGAGTGAAGCCACAGCAGAAACACCACTTTAACAACGCTGTGGTGTACTGCACATCCTCACTCCTGACTGCTGTATTCTCCCCTCCACTCAGCACCAGCCACATCCCTCCCTCTGGGCTGCAGAAGGGAGCAGCTGCCACTGTCCTCTGCAGCCTGAGAGAGCCCTGGGCCACAAGGACTCTAAACAGCAGTGTGATTTTGTTACTGGATTGGAAAATGCTCCAGCTTCTGCTCCTTACCTCGGTGCAGTAGTGTTTTTCAAGCCTTTGGCTTTCCTTTTGCTTCTGGCAGGTGAGGGAGAGCACAGACACAATGGTGCTGTTGCCACTGCTCTCGTGTGACGCCGTCCAGGAAGTCAGGGCAGTGGTGGAGCTCAGCACCGTCACAGTCACACGCTGGGGCTTCTCAGTGAGCTCCTCTATCCACTCACCTGTGGGGCCTGGGACATGGCCCAAAAGCACAGGTGAGCAAGCCACTCCATCCATTTGAGGCACACATATTAAAACACCCTTCTTTCAGGGAATTATTTACAGCTGGTGAGGGAGGCTGGACTGGCAGCTCTCGACCCCACAGCTCCTAGGTAGCAGAAGTGGCAGCCCCTGGGAAAACCTGCAGCAGAGCCCATGACAAGGGAAACGTGCCTTCTGAAAATTCAGAGGGCAGTATTCTCTGCTGCTTACCAGAAACCACCCAGCAGGATCAGATTTGCTCCAAGGGAATGCTTAAAAGCACTGACAGCCAAAAATGTACAGATCATTGACCAGTATTAAAGGATAAGCACACAGATTTTTTCATCTCTCCACATACTAAAACACCCTGCAAGTGCACCATGACCTCAAAGCATGAAAATCAAGTTTACAGAGGTCACCACAGTGAAGAATCTCATTCTTTTTGGAGCACTTGGTTGAGAACACAGCATTAAATATAGATAAAACAACAGTTTTGAAAATAACTAGCTAGATCTGGTTAAAATTTTGTGTTTCATGAAAACAGCCCATTTTTCTTGTCACTTTTAAGTGATACTTGTGACTGCTCTCTCCTTGACATTCTTCCTCCATGCAGCTCTAATGGTAATTTACATTTATTGATAAAATAAAACAAATGCCAGAGCAAGAATGTGGTTTAAAATCAGCCTATATGATTTGACTGCTGACTGGATGTAAGAAAAATACGTAACACAAGGCAGTAATTTGACAGGGTGATTCACCAACCAAGCATTACAAGGAAAATATAAGACTGACCCTGTGGGCAAAAGACCCACACCCACGCAGGTAAAAAAGAGGCATTTGATCATTAGATTATTCTCTGGAGACAGAGGATGCACATGTTGCTCTCACTATTCAGAAACTCTTTCAGCATTGGCATTAAGGCAGCAGAGATGCCTCATGTCATAACCCAGAGTTGTAGTCCCCACACAAAAACCCTACTTGATCAGACTCAGAAAGAGGAATGGAAAAGCAATTTCAACCTAAGAGTATTAGTTCATATCTCCAATTTGGCATTCTATCAGAGATACATATAAAATCTATCTAAAATACTAAGGACCTTGCATTTGACAGACTAAGACAACTGCCAAGAACCCTGATTTTGTTGTAAAAGCCTGCAGAACTAACTGACAAAACCCAAAAAAAACAAAGGTTCTTACATGTTACATGTAAAATTAAAATATCCTTGCCTTCCTGTAACACTTTTATACTTCATCTACAATGAGATTAAGGTTCATCCTTAATCTAGTCATCTATACCCCTATACTTTGGGTTAACATGTTCTCATTTCTCTCAGGTCCACAGTTAGCATGGTGAACACTTTAAGCATTAAATACTGCTTAATGAAAATAAAATATGTCACAATTTACAAAATACAACAACATTTGGCACTAATAGCAATGCTATATATATCTTTATCTACTTTAATGCTTTTCATATGATGAAGATGTCCTAAACTATTCCTAAAGAAAAGCAGAAGACAGTGAAATAACAACAGCAGAGACCCTCTCTCTCATGTGCTGTTTTCTGGACGTTTTCCAATTATTGTTTCTTCCAACTATAAAGTTGTTAAAAATGGGAGCAATAGTGGGATTGCTACATACAGTCCAGCATTATGATGACTTCAAGTTTAAATACCTAGTATTTGTAAATGTTATGAGCTACTAAAGGTGCAATTTTTATTCATAATATACTGAAGTGCTTGACTACATTTCCTTTTAATAGGATTTTTTCTGCCAGCTTTGGCTACTCTGTTTTGTTGCAGCATTCATGGTTTGGGGAGGCATTATCTTTTCACATGCAAAATTGCGCAGTGCTGCAAGTATTCCCCTGTTCTCATTCTATGGGCATTTTGTAGGGCATATCTATTTCCTTTTGCAAAAAAAAAAAAAAAATACTAAGGTGACCACAGCCATTGAAGGATAATGATCTGAATTCACCAACACCTGTCTCACTTGCTGATCCAATCATCAGTCATGGTATTAGTTTACACGGTAGTGTATTATTACTTTGTCTTTTACTAAATCTCCAGTTAAGAAAGTATGGAATTCTACAGGGAAATAATAAATTACTTTTTCTCCTTTGAATTTAGCAGGCTGTACCACTTCATCCACTGTAATTTGCTCTGTGTTCTCTCAGAGACCATTCAGTTTCAGAGTTCAGTGTTTAATTGTGCAATTCCCACACACTCAGCCTATGCTGCCCTTCATCCCTAACACAGTACATACTCCAGGAGTAGGAAAGTTAAATATTTCCAGAGCTCTCTATAACCACCAAATTAATTCTTGGAATTAAGTCCTCACTGTGAGAGGTGCAAAAGGGAAACTTATTTAACTTCTGAACACTGACAATGCATCACTTGCTTTCCTAAGGCTACCAAGATGGTACAACCAAGGCCCATCCAGGCAGGTTGCAATATATTAACATATTTGCACTATATTTGCTTCTCTGGCACAGAGAATTCCAGAAGACAAGACCCTTGTGATCCATCAGCAGGTTCCAGAAATACCAGTGGTCAAACTCTACATTACAGCTATGTTGCTCATGGAGAAAAAGATGAGTTTGATGAGATACTTACTGATATAAAAGCTAAGTGCTTTTGCTGATTGACTTCCCCGAACTTCACAAGAGCCAGAGGAGCTAAATGTTGTTACAGACAATTTATATTTTCCTGGTTCTTTCAGTTCGGCAACAAATTTGTGAGTGTCCTCACTCACTGTCAAAAATTCTGTGGAGTTCTCTAAATCAGGAGGAAAAAAAAAGTGTGGATTAACTGAAATTTGAAAGGTTCCAGTCACCAGGAGAATTATTTACATCAGAAATGCCAATCTCATTTCAGATGTGGGATTAAAAGATATCCAAAAAAACTTTATTCAAACAGTGTGGCAATATGTACAACAGTATAAATCTTGTTTAACAAAATAGACCTGCAAAGTGCAATTTACTCCTCCTCCCCCCCTTACTTTTATGTTGCCCAGCCAAAAGTAGATGCTGTTCAATGCAAAAACTCCTCAAGAAATACATGGGATCTAACAAAGCCCTCTGAAGAACAGTACTAGATAATGAATAATTTGTAGAGGAGACAACCAGCAACAAAATTACAGAAAAGGAGGATGAGAAGGGCACAAGGCTCTGCTTTACCTTCCCTTTCAATATTAATGTTGAAACCATCAAAGGCTGTAGGGGGCTTTGGGGGCAGCCAGCTCAGCACCATCTGCACAGGAAGGAAGGGAGGGGGCTCTGCTGTGGGTCTGCCAGCCGTGTTGGCATCACTGGCTTCATAATCCCTGGAAACTGCATTGACAAACTCCTCCTCCCCCTCAGAGGACTCGGCCTCGCTGGACCACCAGGACGGCTGCGAGCTGGTTTCATATTCAGTGCTGGTGTTGGAGGGCTTGTCCAGCCAGGCTGCAGAGGTGTTTGCTGCTGGGATTTCAGTAGGGCTGCCAGAAAGATGTCTGCCTTTCTCTTTCCTGATGATTTCCTGCGGTCCCATGAAGGATTCTTCCGCGAAATTCCCACTGTGCTCTTCCCAGTTGTTTCTGTTGATTGGGACAATCTGAACAGAAATGTTTCGGGGTGGGTAAGGAACTAAAAGAGAAGCAAGGATAGTCTTTTAATAGGTATGTTCTGTGCACCTTTAAATATATTAATTCCTCAGACAAATAACATTCTTCTAGGGATTGTTTGAAATAGTTTGTTCTTACTAAGATACTCCCTTCTCTTTCCTATTCTTATACGTATACCAGAAGTGATTGTAGTGGGATCAAGATGAGTATAAATTCACAGCATTATCACTATTAAAGAATGCCAGGAAGTAAAGTAGATGTGAAGCCACAGTAAATCAAACTTCAGTGCTATTATAACAGCATGTCTACTCTAGTATGAATTTTTAACAGTGAATCTTTGTGTCTTCCAAGAAGTTCTTTATCATGCAGAAAAACACCACCTCTGTAGAAATGAATTGAAACATATGCAAAATGAATATATAGCATAGCTCATATTTTAAAAAAATAACCTTCATGTTGCTGTAGGGCTTTTCATATGCTTTTAGCAGCCACCTTTTCACAAGCATTAAACATCAGTTTAAATTTTAGTATTTGTGAAGGCTTGATCTTAAGATTTGGGTCTCCACAAGACAAGATTCTGGCACACAAAGAAGTTACTTCAGCTGATGCCAGGAGGTGAACACACAGTATTTTTTCTGTCTCACTGTAATTGCTTGTCTGCCTCTCCTTACACACTCTAAGTGTGAGTATCCTCTGCAAATAATTTTGCCTGGCACCTTTTAAGCTGGCACTTTACAGCACACTAATTTGTTCAACTTCCATCCCAGCCACAGCCACTAATAGAAAACCAGACTCTACATTCTTGTTGCAGCTCATGTGAAAAATGAGGCATGGGAGGGCAGCAGGAAAAAAAAAGTGATCCTGTTGGTTATGGTTCAATACCTCAACAACTATATTTAGGATCTTCAGGACAGAACTCAGCTGGCATCAGTTGGCTTAGTTCTGTCCAAGGTAATGGACCAACACCAGTGTATTCATCTGAAGATTTGGCCTTTTGATTTTATTGCTGGTACACTTCACTTTGGACCCTGAAAAATGTCTGCAGTCCAAGAGATTAACAAAAAAGTTTTGGGCACCATACCAGGGCCAAATTAAATTAGTTCTGGACCCTGAACAAATGCAATTTTCAGCCTTTGCAACATGGCTGTCTTGGAAATTAAAAGTTCATGCTTCAGGGCACAAAGTGGCCGCCAAGTCGGGCAGCTATGACATTCTTCTCCGTGATGGAAAAGTGCACAGTGAGGAAAATCTCGAGCAGTTCAGCTGTGATTCTGCACAAGGAGACAGACCAACAGAGACAGACCCATGGTCTGCTCAGTGCAGCTATTCCTGTGGCATAAAACCTCATTCCTAGCACAAGGCCTGGGATATCTCATGTGAAGTTATTTTCCAAGAAGCAAGCTTTATAACAGAAACACACAAATTTCCCTCTGCACTGTTTGCCTATGGAACAGCCAAAACATCCTCCTCCCGTGCTCCCAGGGCTGCTTCCACACAGACCCTGCTCTCTGTGGGATCAATCCCCTCCCCACAGCAGCCAGAAAAGCAGCAGTACAGACTTGGAGGAAACATTGTGTAAGAATTTTCATCACCTGTTCTGTGCTGTTTGGGCTCATGCTGGACCCCACTGTATTCCACAAGAGTGCTTTTGTTGAAGGTTGCTTCTGACACCAGCTGAAATGTGATGTTACTGTAGCATATGCCTGGCAGCCAGTGATTGAAAACTGTTTTACCTTTAAAGAAATCTGCAAAAGGTTTAAAGGAAAAAGAAGAAAGGGGGGAAAAAAAGCGGATAATGCATCAAATGTTCGCTTTCTGATAATGTGACTGCACATGGTGAATGGGCAATGTTTTAGATGTTTAAACATTTTCAGCCCACTCTGAGACATGAAATTGTAATAATTCAGTTTGCCAACACTTTTCCTGGCTGCCAAAGCCACTTTGCTACCAGAAAAAAAAAAAAAAAAAAAAAAACACCCCCCCCCCAAAAAAAAAAAAAAAAAAAGGGCCCAGCACAAGAAACATGAGCTGTTTTTCACTGGCAAGGGAACTGAATCTGGCAACCTGCTCCACATGACACTGAATATCTCAAAGAGCATCTGACAGCTCTCCTGCAGACCTTTAACTGCTGCACACAAAAGTGTCTTTGGTCTTTTGCTGACTGAGGCCCAGCATTTTTGGGAGATGTTCAAAAGAACACCTGCCTGCAATCGAGGGGTGCTGAGGGCTCAGCTCACATCCACCACACCAGAGGGCTGAAGAAAACTTGCTCAGGGCTATCTGGCTGTGTGCAAGCTGATTAGTGAATCTCCTAATTTAAACTGACTCTTATTTATCAGCAGCTTCAGCGTTACAGCCCCCAAAACCATCTATTAACTGTGGAAGAGACAAATGACTGCTTGTATCCCTTTTGTTCTCTGCAAAGAGGTGACCTGTATTTTCTACCACGATCCAGACTTTATCCTTCTGAACTTCTGGCACTTTATAGCACCGAAAATAGGATTTCTAGCCCCACTTGGCATTGAAGCAAAGAGACTCCCAAATTCTCTGACCTCCTTCTGGAGGTGTACATCTCCCTCTGCTGACTTTAAAGAGAGCTTCCAGTGACCAGTCTTCTATTCTGGGATCCTTAATTCAGCGCCTAAAATTAAATTCAGCACCTACTGGATTGCCCAGAGATTTTGATTTGATTTTGGATTTTACTGCCACTATGGGATGTTAAGTCATTGGGGTTTCAGGGTCCACAGGCATGTGGGTGTCTTCCTCACCTCTTAGGGTGCTTCCCACAGGACATTTATGGTCCCATTTATATCTCTGAGACAGATACTGTGCTTAAGCTATACTGCAGGGCAAAAGTTGTAAACAAATATATGAAAGGGTTCAGTTATGAACAAATGAAAAAAGAAGGCAGGATTTGCTCTTGTTTGGATCATTCAGGTGGTTAGGTTGGTTGTTTGCCTAGGCTGACTGTCTAGACTGTTAGATAGATTACCCTTGATTAGATTATTTTAGGAACATGGAAATTTCTATTATGCAGCAGGGTTTATTAACTGAGGGACAGCACTGAATGCTGCACTGATGTAATATACAGCACAGCACTGTCACTGCACGGTGATACAGAACCACCAGCTCTGATCCTGTGCCAACAGTCAGCTTTCTTGAATGGGTTTCCCTCCTCTGGGACATCCCAGAGCTTTCCTATCAGCCACAGACCAAAGAGGAAACCTTGGCCAGAGGGAAAAGCCTGGGAGCTTTTGTATTATTTGAACTGACACACAAGTACCAGTGACTGGGGATGCCTTCCCAGGTTCATTTCAGACCGAATGCAAAATCCAGGGCACCAAGTCTTACTCTAAAATCCAAAAGAAATGGAACATCACTACAACTAAGATTCTAGCAATTTAAAAATCCCAAGTGAACCACCAGCTCAATTCAAAGACCCATCCCTTACTTCACAATATACAAGCACATTACCAGAAGGACAAATCATGATATAAATACATGTCAAAACCCCATCTAAGGCCACTGTTTAAAATGTTTCCAGCAGAGTTAGTATTACATTTTGGTGAAATACTTTCCACCTACCTTTGTAGAGCATTGTTCTGTAGTCTTTCCCTTCCCAGTAGCTTATATTGACCCTGGTAAAAACATTGTACTTCTCTGGGTACTGAATTTCAAACAACACTCCTGTTTCTGGAGATGGTTTGTAATCATAAATAGAAACATTGCTCACAGGAAGTGGTTCTAAAGGATATACAAACAAAAGAGGAAAAAAAAGGAAGAAAGGGGTAGATTAAAGGGGCAAATTGGAGTTACTTGCACATATACAATATCAATGAAAATAAATGCTTCTGTAGGTATGATAAATACAATATAAATGAAAATAAATGCTTCTGTAGGTATGGTAAATACAATATAAATGAAAATAAATGTTTCTGTAGGTATGGCACAGGCACTATTAAATCTACCAGGTGATATCTGAGCCTTCACTGATGTGTGGGGCAAAGCCACCACGACACTGTCAAAGCCAGTATTTCTACACTCCCCTCGCTTCAAAGAATGTATCTTCTTAACACTTATGCTTCAACAGCAAAATTTTCATATTTGACATTTAAAAAATGTTATTATTTAAGCACTCACAGCTCTCACCTCAGAAACATTTTCATCTTTAATGCTTGTCAATCATGTAGAAGTGCCCAGACAAAACCAACACAACACTTGAAACTGATTGTGACTTCAGCATAAATTTAGAGCTTTCAAGATTAGCTGAGAAAATTATCAGTGTAATGACCTAAAGAAGCTACATGAATAAAGGTTTCCTATTTTGGTATCTATAATTTTCTTTATTTCATGGGTAGTTATACAGTCCCCATTCCCACCCTGTGAAAGGGTTATCTGTTTATCCACACTAAACTTATACAAAACCAACAGGACCACTACCATTATTTTAAGGATAAAGAACTGAGGTACAGAGAAGTAAAGTGGTCTGTTGGAGACCACAGGAAAAGCCTGTGCATAGGAAGGAGGCAAGTCAGAAGCTGCTCCTCTCTGATCTCAGAATCAGGTAGGCCACAAAAAGTAAGAAAAATATCTTCTGTCCTGTGATCTGAAATCCAGACCAGTGTAGCTCCATCAGCTGAGGAAAGCCATGACAGGTTACTGCTGCTGGGAGTCTGCATTGTTGCTGACAATAAGAGAATCACATTTTTATTCAGCCTTCTCTAATCATTAAAAAAATCCCAAGAAAAACTAAAAGAAAGAACACCTTTTGTTCAATGCTCTCCTCAGCAAGAAAAAGTTGACAGCAACCCAGTTATCCTGTGGTTAAGAGGTCCAAGCAAGTTTATACTGTTACCTGATATTTGTTATAGTAACATATTTTAATAGAGATAGTTAATGCAATTATGCCTACATCCTTATAAAGATTAGCATGTTGATTTAGCTCTTGCACAATATAGGGATCAGATTGCAAAATTCAGGCTGTTGATTAGCACAGCCTTACAGGACCCATTTGACTTCAAAATTCTGCTGCTCTAGGCCCTGGAGAAAAAAA